GTTAAATTTAAAGTTTGACACCTCATCTGAGAGCCCTTAGATAAAAAAAGATCGACGACTCTGATTTGTAAGCATGTGTTTTTTTTTCTTACGGCTCTCATATGAGGTGTCAAACTTTAAATTTGACATCGGTGTCAAAGGATCCTATCCTTATATATATATATATATATATATATATATATATGGAGTAGGATCCTTTGACACTAGTGTCAAATTTGAAATTTGACACCTCATCTGAGAGCCGTTAGATCAAAAAAGATCAATGGTATCATATATATGTTTACAAATCATAGTCGTTGATCTTTTTTGATCTAATAGCTCTCAGATGAGATAAATTTGACACTGGTGTCAAAAAATCCTACCTCTATATATATATATATATATATATATATATATAATTGCATTGGTTTTTACCATTATCTTGGGATTGTCCATCGTACATAGACAAGCAACAAAATAATAAAAAATATAAAACTTCAGCTGACTCCCAAACTGACCTTCTCACTAAATGGGGTTTCAGATATCGTTCATTTAAATAAATAAAAAAACGCAAAGTATCTGCCTTTGGTTGCGTAGCCAACATAGATTTCTGGTTCCGTACTCATAATTAGGAACAATTTCTAACATAATCACAGGTCACGTGACACCACCGTGGCTATCTTGACGAGACACGTGGCTCACATGCAAGTAAGGTAGGGATAGAAAGAGAGCACTGACATGCAAGAGACAAGACAACGGCAAGAAATTCCTCGACCTCTTTTGCACCAAAGCATTGATAACATTGTGTATCACCTCACCTCGTTAACTAAAGCTTTCAACTTGTTATTAAAACGAGGACTATTGATCGTGCACATACCTATATGAGGTGATGTATACTTAATATTTTATATTAATATTGTTACCCTTTTATTCCTTAAATACTTTTTCATCTTAGTTGGTGGAGATATCAAATAATAAGAATAAATTTGAAAAAAAAAAGTAATTAATATCGCCTTAGTTTTCTAAAGTGACAAACAATTTGAAATGAACTATACAAAAACTCTAAAATAATATTTTTTTAAAAAATAGATAAAGTAATTTAAAACAAAAAAGTGTCTAATTTCTCTTACGAAACATTTTTATTAGGTGTTTCTCGAGCAAGAAAAATATCTTAGTTTGTAAAAACAGTGTGTATACCCATAACTATAAAATTAAAAATACAGTTGAAGTAAAATATAATAATAGCCACATAAGTAATATAATACACGTTGAATTGTATTGGCTATCTGGTCAGCATCAATTGTAGGAAAAAATTTAGGTAGAGTTCCTTAGTTGCTTGTAGTATTTTTCCCCAATTAAGACATAACATGTGTTGTTTTAACACCTTGTCATCCCTTTCATTTATCTCGAAACCACGGTAGTTGGAGCTAGCTAGGACGTCCTAGGCAAAGTTGACAAAGCACTAAAAAGACCTCAATAAAAGTTGCATGACACAAGAGCCTTCTACGTTGAGCTTTGACGTGTGGAGAGTTGTTGTCTTGTTGAATCCCAGTCTCTAAGGGCTTGTTTTAGAGTTACTTTTAGGAGAAAAAGAAAAAAAAGTGAAGAATTTTATTAATTTCTTTTTTTGTTTTTGAGTTTAAAAAAGTGAGAGGGAAGAATTTATGAATTTTCACAAAACCCTCCAAAATCCTTCTTGTTCTTAAAATTAAGGTTCTCTCAATTTGGGAGATTTTAACTCCCAAACAAGAAAAAGAAATACCCTTCATTTTCCTTCCCTTCCTTCCCCTTCCTCTCCCTTGAACTCATTTCGTTCTCTTCCCCTCTAAACTCCCAAACAAAGCCTTATAAGATGATGGTTTTGAGAGGGATGACAACGAAAATAAGATGTGAAAAAAATTACACACATGCATATTGTTGTATTTTTAATTAGGGATTAGCATCATAATTAAGTACGAATATAACATAAATTTACTTTAGTTTTGAACTTCTTTTAAAACATGAAAGTCTGTCTTGTAGAAGCAATAACGTCATAAAAACCAAACCGATGATTGACTCGGTTGAGGTATTGGGTAAGTAGATTATTGATCTTATCGGTAGATCACTGGTTGAACCACATTATTTGAATTTATATGAAAGTATATAATAAACATAATAGTAGTAATAAAGTATCTCAAATGGGTGATTGGCATAATGGTTCGTTGCCTCTTATTTAATGAGAAAAAATGTTTGTCATTTTAAATTACACAATTTTGTAAACAATCACTAAATATACACTAAAACGATGTCATTTTATTTAAAATGACATAATTTATGTCATTAAAAATGACAAATTTTTTTCCCAATTTCTTACAATCTGGTTTGGTTTCAACTCTTGTCAGGTGCACATTCTTTAAAAAGATTTTTTTAAAATACTAAAACTAGTACAAGCATTAAACTAGTCCGGATTTTTACATATCACAAGCAGATCACTGATTCGTTACCTAATCAGAAACATATATGATCTATTGATTAAATCAGACTGATTGGGGATCCGATTTCTGGATCAAGTAGTCAGACCGAATGGTCTTGTCGAGTTTTCACAACATGGCTTTAGAAGTGATTTGAAAAAGCTTCAATTGTCTAAGTTGCTAATGCCATTTTTTAATTTCTCCTTCTCCCTCTTTTTTTGGTAAATAATTTCTCCTTTTTTTTGTAAAGAATTTCTCCTTTTTTTACTATTGCTAAATTTGTAGTTTACAACGAAACTAAAAAAAATTAAACTTATAATTGTCATAACTCAAAACTATTTATGTGAGTCGGTGCATGATTAGTGAATCTTGAATTTGAATATTATCTTTATTATCCTTAAGAACATGACATTCTTTTGTTATGAAAAGAAAAAAGTTTTAGCTTAAGTGACATTAAATTTGAAGATTACTAATTGATTTTTAAGATTAAATTGTTAGGAAATGACTTATTCCCATTTATAAATACTTCATTATACTTGTGTAATTATTAGTTATGTACTATTTGATGTGGTTCAATCTAACATATCATTTTTAATAGATGAGAAGAATTTAATATCAAATCAAGATTAGAGGATAATATTGATGAACACATTTTTTCCAGAAATTTTATAAACTGAACCTGTATTTGTAGAATTTTGCAGCATGTAGTAATATTAGGAGAGACATATCTCTCAAATGCATAATTGGATCAAACTCAAATTTTAACATAATTTTTTTAGAGTTTGACCATTCAAAAAATTTAGTGGAGTTTCGATGAGGTTTTCGTACAACCTAAAACAGAGGATATCATAAACCCTTCTTTAGCTTAGGAATGAGGTTCAAAGAGAAATATCTCTCTTTTTTTTTTGGTGTGGAAGAGAAATATCTCTTTGATTAGCCATGGGATCATCCTCAAATTAAAAAGATACAAAGTTTTTCTATAATAAATTTTATGTATAATTTTCTTTTAAAAGCTCTACACTAATGTATTAAAATTTTACTTTTTATATAGATTATTTCATGAAAATCTCATTAAACTAAAAAAAAAAAATACTAAATCAAAAAATATTAGGAGTCAATACTGAATAATGTTATTTTTCTGAACCATTGCAAATTTTCAATTACATAAAGGAAAATCTTACTCTCTTTACAATGTTAAAATCAACTTTGACTCATTTATAACCTGTCCAAGTCAGCCATCAAATTGATTATGTTATCAACCCAACATACCCCAAATGACCGTGTTGTAAATTTTGTTAATTTCAGATGGAATCATATATATATATATATATATATTTATTTATATATTGTAATTTTATGTTTTGAGTTATTTAATAGGAATGTTATATATATAGATAGGATAAAGGTTATAATAAGATAATATAAAAATCAATAAACTCTAAACTAATATGTCTTTTAAAAAGATTTAGTAATGATAAAAAAATCTAATTAAAACTGTATATATAAATGTTATTTTTTATTTATAAAATTATTATATTTTAATAAAATCTTACTATGTTTAGAAGAAGAAAAAAGTTGAGCCTCTTGAAACCTTTTGAAATTAGAAGCATAAAAGCGGGTTCAGAAGACTCACAAATCCATGCTGGGTTGAAGATGTGACCCGAGTCCAGACAAAACTATAGGGCCATAGTCATTATTAAGAGTTGAATTCAATGGCCCATCAATGTATTAATGCCATTGTCTTCACAGCTGCCACTCAAATTTGTGTTTTCTTTCCTTTTACATTTTTTTTGTATTTTTATTTGTATTGATGCAAAAATCACTGATTGGATCCCAAACTGACGTTCGATTTTTATCTAACTGTTCATACAAAAAATTTATATTAACTACAAGCTAGTTGGGTAAGTTCATTAATATTTTGAGTCGCAACCCTCGTGATGTCAATAAAATATGGAGATTAAACTTTTTTCCAGCATGGAGAAATCTGTAACCTATGTCTAGCAGTGTCATAAATAAATGGCAAAAACAAAAGTAACATAAAGAATTATCAGATATGTGGGGCCCAGCTTGTTCTTGTCTACCATTCCTTGGGCCAGACCAGATGTGCAGGACTCTTATCCCTATCTCAATGCCTTTAATATAAACCACAAGGGTTTGATCATATCACCGTTATGTGGTCCTTACAATTACAGGGACTACAGTGAAACTCAAATTAGGTACATTTACTACCACTGTGTTCTTCCCGGTGGTGGAGAACAATCGCCCCCTCAAATTAATACAAACATTTATCTTAAATTACATTCAAACATAAAAAAAAAAAAAAAAAAGATTGTGTAATATAAATTTGTTATGCTGAGGTGTGTAAATGGGACAAACGGCCTATCAAAGACCTAAAGTCTGACCTACTTTAAATCTGACTTAGTCACAAAATTGTCTCACTCCACTATTGCTCTTACCTTTGGTACAAAACATAAAGAGAGGTCTTCTTAAAAAATTTTAAAAAGAAAAACAAAAGTGCTTCAACAAATTGATAAACCAACCATAAGATATTACAGAAATGAACAACTAAGGTTAGGCAGTTTGATCTGGAGAAGGGAACCTAAGATTTTTAAAGCAGGTGAATGCTCCATCCACAATGAGGTTGTGGCCTGAGATAAACTTTGCTTCATCAGATGCTAAGTACAATGCAGCCCGGGCCACATCAATGTCCTCACACTGGGCCCCCTTGAGCTCACCAAGCCCATTCACAATGCCCACTACTTGTTCTTGGGTTAAACCAGGATAAATGATCCCTATTTGGGCCACTGACATAGGTGTAGGAATTGGAGCTGGGGATATGCAATTGACTCTGATTCCATCTCTGCATAGCTCACTAGCCACAGACTTCACAATCCCTTGTATTGTAAACTTTGATATTGTGTATGGATGAGGCCCAAGCCCACCCATGAGCCCACTTATGCTGGATGTACATAGAATGGACCCACAGCCCATGGGTATCATCACTCGGGCCGCATGCTTTATACCTGCAATCATTCCCCAGACATTAATCCTCATGACCTTGTCAAATTCATCAAGGTCTAGCTCTGAGATGCTTGGTGGGAATATTGGGCCTGTTATGCCAGCATTGTTGTACATGATGTCCAGTTTGCCATAGTGGGTCATGGCTACATCTACAGCTTCTGCTATTTGGGCCTCAACAGTGACATCACATTCCACAAAGTGGGCTGAAGGGCCCAATTCTTTTGCAACTTGTGACCCAAGTTCAGTGTCTTTGTCAGCAATGATTACATGGGCCCCATGTTGGACAAATTCATGGGCTGTGGCCTTGCCAAGTCCACTTGCTGACCCTGTTATAAGTGCTACTTTTCCCTCTAGCCTGCTTTTAAGAACCAAAATGAATGAATATCAATCATCATGAGTGAAGAAAGAAAGAGTGGAAAAGAGAAAAGAAATTGTTTGGTTTGAAATGTGAACTCTGGGAATAATGGATAATGGTCTCTATCTAAATAATGCTATCAGCTTTATCTCAACGTCTAAATCAGAAAGCATCATTTCTTTTTTGGCAAAGTTGGAGGATGATGTCGTGGACCAATTTTTCATCCAACAAGATTGATTAAGATTGCGTATTCAAGGGGGCTTTTGGTAGAGGAGAAATTTTTTTTATCTAGAAATCTCGATTTTCAGAAATATAGTTTATGATAATATCCAAAAATTAAAAATTTAAAAAATTTAGTTTCTCGAGAATCCTGAGGAATACCACGTATCAAACGCCCCCTTAAAGGACTTTGAAAAGTATGAGGACGCGAAAGGACCTTTAGATGTATTAGAAAAGATAATTTTTACAATGAGCACATGAATCAACTGATACAAGCTTGTTCTAACTGAATTTATGGTCTCAAGATTGAATTTTGGGTATATAACTTGTTAAAAACTTAATAGAAAGAGTTTTGATGCCATTAATCAAAAAAAATTCCCATAATGGTATGGAGATTTAAACTTATGATCTACACTCCTCTATTCAAATAAATTACCACTAACTTACAAATTCTAATTCTAGATGTGGTTACCAAGCAGAAAGCGACTTTGTGTGTATATAATGGGAATGAAGTTAAATTCACTTTTTTTTGGTACTGTTTTGCTTCATTATTAGTTGGGAACATCTACAAGAATCACTTAAGTAACTGACACGTTTAAAAATTAAAATTGGACCATTAAATCACGTTAGCTGTTTCTGTTTGGTAGATCTACAGCATGAGAACATGCAAATTGGAGGCAGCTAGCACGATTTGTTCCATGTGCTTCACGGACTTCCGTTGTCATTGTTTAAATTTATTTCTATGTATCTGTTAATACAAGTGACTTAAGTACTTAACTTATATATTCTACAGTGTATTGCTTTTCATTTGTCAACGCAAATGAATAAAATTGAATTAAATAGTGCTCTTAGATTTACAGTATACTATTCTGTTTACTTTTTAATCTTATAAGCGTTGTATTAACAACTGGAATGTAAACAGTGATCAGAGAGAAGTTAGAATTGGTAAGTATTTCACAAGCTAGCTTTTACTTATGTGGAAATATATATATATATATATATATATATATATATATATATATATATATATCATTTGACTCCATAATAAGATTTACAAGCCTTATTCCTCATCTTATAAATCTTACTGAGTCGAGAAAGACTATAAGAGTGATAAAATTCTTCTTATCAAATTTTTAAGACAGCTACATACTAAGACTCAAATTTGAAATCACCAACTACACTGAAATAACCATATATAAATTGATTCACATATTTAGTGATATAGACAATTGCCAAATACCAACAACAGTAAACTTCTATCCATTCCCAGAAAGTAAGAATAAAAACTTAATGGACTAATTTATTTTTTTCCAAAAAGTAAAAAACAAAACTCATGCTTCATAGTTCATACTGATCTCATGTAAATTTAGTGAAGTAGTAAGAGCCCAGAAAATAAAATAAAAAAATAAATAGATTAGTGTAATTCATTCATGAAGAATTCAGATAATATCACCCATTAAATGAAACAGGACTAATTAAAACATCATCAACTATTGTACAGAGCTTTAATGAGACTTTACCTTCTTCCACCAACCGTTGCATAGAATCTGCTGCGTTTTTGAAGCAAACCATTGGTAAGGGTTGTGAGCTTGAACTCTCTGGAAAAGATAAAGTGAATATTAATCAAAAGAAAAAGCTTCAAAAACCCAACAACAGCTCCAAGCAATTCAACTTAGCAACAGTTAATAAGAAGGAAACATTGACCAACTAACTAAATAAGGTTTAATATTAGAAATGAAGGAATATTATAGAACTTGAGAAACCTGGCTAGTGTTCTGAGCATACTTGCGGCGAAGATCTGAAGGAAACAACTTGGGGTGGACCTCTCTGGTGTTAATTTGAAAGCATAGAAAGAAATGAAAGGTTGATGAATATATTTATGGAAGAAGTAGGAAACGTTTTGTCTTTTGTACATAATAGTTGTAAAGAAAATGATTCTCCCTTTGGGGAGCTTGATTCAATATAATCATATAATATACAAGGTCAAAATTATGCAACTTCTTGTTTTAGAAACCAAATTAAATTATGAGAAGTATAAAAGAAAAAAAAGTTACCACCAAATACAAGGATAAATTATTGTTCTAGTTAATCAATGGTAAATATAAGTTCATGAGAATTCAGATGTGTTAAAATTTGGTAGAGAAAATTTTGTTTTTCATGTAATCTTACCCGACTAGTCAAATAATCGACAAAACATTGAATAACATTAAAAAAAAATTAGGGGAAAATTATTTTTATGGGTTTAGTGTGTGTCATTCAAAAGGACACAAGTTGTGTCTTTTTAGTGACTTACACAGAGTATAACCGGTCATACTCTGTGTAATTCTGAAAAGTTACTTTTTTTTCACTTTACACATCAGCGATGTGACTGAAGAGAGAGAAAAAAAAAGCTTTTCAAATTTACACAAAGTATGACCGGTCATACTTTGTGTAAATCATCTAAAAAGACATAATTTGTGTCCTTTTAAATGATAGTCTTTTTTCCCTATTTTTATTTAGCGTAATAAAAATAAAAGCTTATTTACAATCTTAGTAAAAGATTATTTTCAGTATTTTTTTCGCCTAAATTAAACAAGAGAGAGAGTACGTGTTTATATCAAAGTTACGAGAGAGATAAAATAATTAATGTGCTGAAAAAAGTTTTGAATGGGTCTTTTTATCTCCAAAATATTCAACCTTTTAATTACTAACCTCAATTATATATTTATTTTAAATAATTGGCATTGACGGTCAATTAATCCAAATAAAAGTAAATAATCACTACAATTCATCTCTTAAATATAGTTTTTTTTTTTTATGTTATCAAAAAAAAAAAATATAGTTTTTTTTACCAATCCTTTTCTTTTATTACATATTATTTAAACATAAACGGAGTTTAAATTCTTAATATGACAAGTAAAATTCATTTGTACTTAATATTTCATTCATCTTGAGAGTAAAAAATAACTCTAATTAGTATTCAATATATTGCAGAGACATGAAAAAATGTAAATTAAATATTAAACACTATTTTGGAACATTTAATTTCTGAAAATAAAAAATTGATTAAGTAACCTATAACTTTTATCAAAAGCAATAAGAATCGCATTTACACAAAGTAATTTGTAAATAAATGAAAATTCTAAATTAATAGCATTTGTAATAAGGTTAATAATACATTGGATATGTCTACTCTTATGGTGTAGAAGAGAACATATTTTATGCTAAGACACAAAATGATAGAACCCACCACTAAAAAAGAAAAAAGAAAAGAAAAGAAAATAACAACACACTTATCGAAGCACACTTATCGAAGTGTTTATAACATAAGATAGTAGTTTCCTACAATATGAGACTATTATTCTCCTAAAACATTTTAAACTTTGAAGCGATGTAGCGGTGAGGTTTCTGCTGTGTGATAATTCATTTTTTTGAAGTCTCTCGAGGATGTTTCTCATATAAAATATCTGATCCAGTATATAAAAACTGGGTGGAACAAAGAAGAAGATAAAGAAAGAAAAAAAAGTGAGTTTCAGTCATTTTGTATGTGTTGTATAAAATAATTTTATCTCATATAATACGATAAAAATATTTTTTAATTCAAGTAAATACTCATCCCAAAACATGTTACTTATCTAACTAAGGTGGAAAAAGAATTCTCTTAATCAAATGAATGATAGCTCAGTTAGTGCCAAGATACTGAGCAAGTGAGAGTGAGAGCATGTATTCAATCTTTTTTAATATTATTTTTGAAAAAAGTTTAAAATCTTAAGTCCGATCCTGAATCAAACTAGTTACGAAACGATGAATCGATTGAAATATCTAAAAATAAAAAGTCCTATCTGATACTTATCATTATTCTATAATTTAAATGGTAATATTGGACACGCATTTTCATGGAGAGAGAGAGAAAGAGTTGATAATGAAGAATGAACATGATTTATGTCTGTTATGATCTGTCTTATTTATTGATCCGCAAAGGAAGTTAATGTTGAGAATAAAAGAAATCAAGATGGTTGCATCTTCCATTCTTTATTTCCACCCTGTCATAAGTATATATATGCTTCATTTTCAAATAATAAACAGTCCCATGGACCTACCACAATCCCAATTCATCTTCAAATAATTGCTTGGTTTTTCCAAGTTTATTTTTGCTCAAACATACTTCTATAGCCATAGCCAGTGGAAATTCAAACACGATTTCGTTTTCTTTTCTCACCATTTAATTCTAGGGAAAAATGTCTATACTTTTAAATTACACAACTTACATCATTTCACTCTCACAAAGAGGTGGGACCCACAACTTTATTTTTTTTTGTCAACTCTCTCTCCTCCTTTATCTATCTCTTTCTCTCTCTTAAAATGACACAACTTTACATCCTTCAAAATTATACACACTTTTCCCTTAATTCTAATAGTGATTCTTCTTATTAAAAGAGGATGGAGTAATGAAAAACAAAAATATTACTATTATGTGAAGGCACGTGTTACATAAAAGATAAAATCATAAAACCATATATAAGTATATAACCAACACAAAATACCAAAAAAGAAAGGGACAGTATAAAATTCAGATGAAATTAATACGTGAACATTATTCATATAATATAGTGCTCCATAAAGTACCGTATAGTGGCTCCAATTAGATGTTAGGCACATGATAAACCCTAGCCATTCAAAATTTATTCCAGAACAATTATCTGAGCCAGTTGTTTTACATTGGAAATCTACTGGATCTTAAATGTCAAAAGAGTATATCACCAAAAAGGATATGGAGCCTCATGCAAGTTTGTGTGACCAACCGACCATTGATTATAAACTATTATTAAATTTGTTTCTTAGTAACAAAAGGAAAGTGCAAAGGGGAAGTCTTTTTAAAAGACTATCCTATATACCCTTTACTTACTAGCTAGCTATTTGCTTTATCTTATCTTTTTTTTTTTTGTCTTTACTTTTTCCTTATAAAACCACTTATTCTCGAAAGGACTTCTCTAACAACTTCACATTTTAATTCCGGTCCGGCTTCATGTATATGTTGATTTATAATTTTAAAGTCAATAACTATGTAATTCTAGAAGAGTGGTTGCTTGTTTTATATATGTATTATCTAGAAAAGAGATATATAATATGAAGACTTGAAAAGTAAATTAGGAAAAATTAGGTTGCGTTTGATTTGCTTTTTCTTTTCATTTTTAGTTAATATGCTTTCACCACAAAAAAGGACATTTTATTATCAGTTTTATTTTATTTTAAGAATTTTCAAAAAGAGATGGTAAAAATAATATTTTGATAGAATTTGGTGGAAGAAAATAATTAGAACATGCAGTAATAACAAAACAATATATAGGAATACAATTTGGCCATGTATTTTAAATATTCAGTGTCTATGACTTTAATTATGATACATGATATTATAATATTAATTACTATGCGGTTCAAGTAATTATTAATAATAATTAAGTTTGAGATAAATATTTAAAATTTATTTACAATGTTAAAAATTGAAGTACGTACGGGGATGTATTTACAAAATAAAAGGGACTAAAAGCCTAAATATTTTTAAAAAGATTAGTATTCCCATGAATCAAAATTTGAAATATTGAGCCAAATACCAAAATTTGAAACTATTCTAAATATTTAGTGTCCGTTTTGGACGGACTTTTATTATTAAAAAAGTTGCTTTTTTTAAAAGTAAAAGTCTTTTTGAGAATTTTTAAATGTTTGGATAATAATTTTTTTAAGAAGCAAAATTTAAAATAAAAGTTAAAATGTTGTTTTTTTATAACCAGTAGTTAGTTTCTTTTGGAAAAAACAGAAATTAAAAGATAATATAAATATTTCTTTTTTTGAATAAATATAATATAAATTTTTAAAATACAATTTTAACCTTATCCTATCATGCTTATTTTATCACTCTTTATCCTACGATCATGTTATTTTATCGCTTTTTTATTGTAATTTTATATATAAAAAATGTTTTTTTATTTTAACATCCAAATAACCTTTTTATGTAAAAGTGATTTTCAGATCATACATCCAAACATAAAATAACTTTATCTTTAAAAAAAGTTATTTTAAAAAAATCAATGCATAAAAAATCATTTTTTTTAACGCTCATCCAAAGAAACTCTTAATATGGATTTACGAAATGACTGGGGATAAGATGTTATAGAAGCACATCAAGTGTAGCGGTTGTTAGTTAACTCATTCTCATTAATCAATTAACTGTTCGATTAAATTACAAAACCTTTTTTTTTCATATTTTATATTTGTTACACATCAATGTCCTCTTAACTCAATTGGCAATATCAATCAGGATTCAGGATTCATTCCTTATCAAGTTACTTTTTCTTTTTTTCATATGTTTCCAGATGGTTTTATCTCCTTGTTAACTTGATGTTATGGAATTCATATTTCTTGTCGCTTTCTTTTCTTAATTTTTTAATTTAAAGATTATGATTCATTATAAAAAACAATCAATTAAGAAAGAAGGTATAATCAATGAAAGCAAATCAACAAATAAATTTGTATTGTCTATATTTAAATTGAAAAGACAAGAAAAGAAATACAAAATGGAGACAGAAGATTTCAATTATGTTTTACTTAAACATTCACCTCCAATGGTTGGGCATCAAAATGAATATTATATTTTTTTATTAATTAAATGTTAGAATTAATTTTGAATTAGCTACAATTATGAATAACATTTTTTTAAAAATTTATTTTTATCTTTTTTTCTCATTGAAGTTCATCTGTCACCAATCCCAATTAGTCTGAGATAGACGTATTATTAATGTTGATGAA